TTTTTCCCCTGCCCTCCGCTCTGTGATCCTCAAGTTCCTTCCAGCAGAAATTTTCCCCCCTTCATAATTCGTTTTCCCCCCCTCTTGACTACCCTTCCCCATTTAAAAAAACTCTGCCCTCTCAGGTGCTAAAAACGCAAAATTTCTTTTTCTCCCAAACTCTCTATCCTGGGAACTCTTTTTACCTCTGCCCTTCCCCCCCCATTTTTTCCCGGGCCCCCCTTTTAACCAAAAATTCCTCCGTCCCTTAAACATCAAGCTTACCTTCCGCCAGACTAACACCTTCCCCACTAACCGTTCATACCTCCCTCCCCTACAGATTTTTTTTTCCCGGGGGTCTACCTATTTCTTGCTCCTCCTGTCCTCTTAAAAAACTTCGGAAAATGGTATCCTTTTAAGACTAAGCCAAAAATTGTTTTGGGGGGTTGCCGACACTAACAATGCTCTTTTCGTCCCCCGTCAGAATCATAGCCACCTATTGACTGCTTCTGCTAAAACGTCCCCCTTTCCCCACTTCCAACTCGAACGTCGCCGTCCCAGTTTTAATCCTTCTAAAACACAACTTTTTCCTTGTATAATCTTAGCCCCCGGGTTTTTGTCCCCCTGTAATCCTTTTCCCCTTTCCCCCTACATTTTTAAAAAAGCTCCAAACTTCAGAACACCTGTAATTTAACCTAAACCCCCATTTTTTTCTTTTTCTTTTTCCTTTTCTTTTTCCCCTTCCCCCTTTCCCCCTTTTTCCCCTTTTTCCCCCTCGGTTGTTTTTTCTCTTCTGTCTCGTGTTTTTTGTTCCCTTCTTTTTATTTTTTTTTCACCATTTTCCCCTTTTCACGAACCTCTGGCTTCTCTCCTTCTTGGGCACCTACCTCTTGCAGTGCTCCCCTTCCTTTGTATTTTTACTGGGCCCTCCTCCTTATTTTCCCCCCTTCTAAACCCCTACCAAAATCACTACCCTTCCCATATTACTGATGAAATTAAGACACATGTGCGGTGGGCCCGGGGTTGTCTTTGTTTTTGGACTTTCCCATCCAGTGGTTTTTGGCTGGGTGGCGAAACTCCGATAGGGGTGCAAGGGTGTTGCCAAGTGTCTTAATTTCATCTTGTCGGTATTAATACCATTCTTTTACTAAATATTACTACACCACCACCTCTTCTTTCCTATAATAGTCCCCTCCTGCTCCACTTCTGGTTTTGTGTGACTTTGTAAATGGTCGAAATCGGACCGAAACGTCGTCGTAAAAACTTCTCTCTTTTATGTGCGGGTTTTTTTTTTTGGTATCGTTCCATCCCCGGTATTGTGCCTTTTTTTTTTTTATCTTAAAAATAGTATGGTTTCCCGCCTCCCTAGGCACTTTCTAGGCTATTTTCCACTGACTTTCAAATCTAGACGAAGAAAACTTCCTAACATCCCCTTTACTCATCTGAGTCTTCACTTCCAATTGCGACCCTTGTTTTTGACTCCCCCCCCCCCTGGAACATCCTGCCCTTTGTCCACCTTGTCTATTCCGCGCAGTATTTTTTTATTCGTTATCATGTCCCCCCTGACCCTCCTTCCTCCCCGTGTCGTCAGACCGATTTCCCTTAAAACTTTTTTTCATAGGGCATTCCCCTTACTTGGAAATAACCTTGTCGCAAACCTTGCACTTTCTCTAATTTCTTTACGTGATTGATCAGTGCGGGGTTCCAGACAGGTGCGCTACTCCCTAGGCCCCCGACAAAAAGGTGTAAGTGCTTGAACGATTCCTTCTAAAGTATCGGAGCCTGTTTTTTTCAGGTTTTTCCGGCGCCCTACTGCAAAACAGTTATCTGGATGATGTGCGCTTTCCCTAAAACCCTGCTCGGTGTTTTTTTTTTACTCACCCCAAGTCCTTTCTCCTTGAGCGTGTGTGGTGTGTGTGTGTGGTGTGTGTGTGTGTGGTTGTGGGGTTTTGTGGGGTTGGGTGTGTGCGTGGGGGTTTTGTGTGTGTGTGGTGGTGTGTGTGTGGGGGTTGGGGTTGTGTGTGTGTGGTGTGTTTTTCCATTTGTCCTAGGGACATGTCCCCATTAGACACAGGCCTGGGGGTTGTGGTTGGGGGTGTTGGTT